ATACCGATGTTAGGTTTATCGCCTGAGAACCTATATCAGAACTTCAGTTTTTTATGGCTGAATAATATTTTGTTCACCAGTTCTCGGTTGTAACGCTTTTTGGCTGCAGTGGATAATTCTGTGATGAAGACTGGTGTACAGGTATCTGTTTGCATCCCAGCTTTCATTTCTTTGTGCATACATCTAGGAGTGGAATTGCCAGAGGGCTTTTAAAAAAATAACCTTCAGATCTAGTGAGTAGAACACTCCCAGGTACTTGGTTATCAGGTATCTTTCTGTTTGTGGGGCAGTGCTAGCTGTTCAAAGTTGTGATATAAAGAATTACAGAATACTGGGCACACCTTCCATACTTCCTCCTACCCAGCTCTCGTCCCTTCTTCCACACCAGGGTCCTTATATTGGCAGCCAGCTGTTTAGTCCTTCAGTGGCTGTGCACCTCCAACTTTTCCTCCATTTGTCTGCCCCACCGCTCCCTCCAACTTTGGTTCCCAATCCTTGAGAGAGAGAGAGAGAGAGAGAGAGAACGAACGAACGAACGAACATGCTTTCTCCAGGGGAAAGCACAAGAATTTTGGAGTCCGAGCTAGAGTCCTGGCCCCACCCCTTAAGATTATTTAAATATCCTGCAAGTAATCTAGCTATTCCTTTATAAGCGTTTGAAAGACAAACAGAACAAAAACTAACTTCACCTCTATACCACTCAGTCAATTCCTATAATGACCAGGGAGAATTGAATGGTAGGCATGGAAAAGTTCCATTTACTTGTAGTTCCATTTTTGTCCATGGCCAGTTGGGAGGCTCCTTCTTATGTAAAACCCCCAGCACATTTTCTTTTCCTTTCTTTGCACATTTTGTGTTACGGAATTTGTATCACATAAATATATTCTCCTAGTTATTAGGGGAGTACTCTAGACTTCTGTTACTATATTGAACTGTGTTTTCTATTATTTCTATTTTTAAATTCCTCAAACAAGGTGTATTTTAGAGGCCTCTCCCCATCTCCTTGGTGAGCCAACTAGGGGCTCCTAAGCCGATTTCCCTCCAGGGAACTCTTGCTGATGAATCTTGCCACCTGCCTTTGCCTCCCACCCCCGGTGAAGGCTTCTGTATTTAGACGTAGGTCACCTTGGCCACCCTCTCTTCCCAACCACCTTCCACAGACAGGGTGCAGAGCATCTAGGTTTTCGGGTATGTTGGGTAAGAGAGTGATGAAATCCCAGGTCCCAGTGGCCAGGCAGGAAGAGTTTACAAAAAGGCTGGCCTGCCCTTGAGCAAGTGGGCCTGGACTTTGCACCCCCCCAGCTGGTCGTGGCTGCCTCAGAGAGCTCAGGCTTTGTAACAAATGGCTGCCAAGTAGCAGCTGCTGCTTGGCCTCCAGAATCTGGTCGTCCTGAAAGGCCTGGCTTGTGGAGAGGTGCCCCTGGGAGAGGAGCCGCAAGAGGTGAAGTGTCTTCTTTTACAGACAGGACCACTTCTAACCAGGACTCTGCCCCACTTCCTCAAGACAAAGTGCAGGGCCCAGGGGCAGTACGGAGAGCAGCGAGTACATCACAGGATGGGTGGCTTTATCTGCCTTCTGAAACCTCCTCTCCACCCTCACCCATTTACCAGCGATTCATTTTCTAATTTTTACATGTGCTTTGGAATATTTAATCTCACTCAGATACTTTGGGGAGGCCAAAACTGGTCTTGGAAGTCAATTCATGCCACTCTGCTGAAGTTGTTTTTACCACAACAATTAAAATGCCCAAGTCATTTTTATTTTTAATAGGGAAGTTGCTTCCCTATTAAAGTTGCTTCCCCACCAAGTGGGGAAAACAACCATCTTTACTCCCCAGATCTCAAACTCTGAAGAACTACTCTGTTTACATACCCAGTGGACGTGTCTCCATGCGTGTGCCCGCGGCCCTGCCGGGCCCCCCCTCCCCCCCACACACACACACTAAGAGCTGATCAGGACTTCTCTGTACAGCTCTTGGGGTAGGGGCTCAGTTTTAGAAGGAGAACTCAAAGGTGGCCGAAGCCTGTGTGTGGCTAGGGTGGTGCTGTACAGGGAGTGGGGGGTGGGGGGGTGGAGTTGGCTTCCTGTCAGCACTGCAGTCAAGCCTCCTGCCTTCTCTCACATCCGACTCCCCATTCCTGAGGAAGCTACAATGAGCCCTGTTGTATACATGGAATCCCCCCACCCCCGAAACTAAGCTGAGTATTATGACTTACATATCTGCTTGGACTTTTCTCTGGGTGCATGGGTCACAACGCTGCTTCTTCCTGGTCCTCCTGGGGACATCTTGGTTCTGTGTCGCATTTCCTCTTGAAAGCTTGTTCTCCAGCTTAGATCAGAATCCCCTGCAGGCCTTGTACCCCGCCCTGACCTAGAGGGCCTGATTTCTTCTAGAGGTGGGGCCCAAGTATCCGCTTGTGAGCGGGCACTGCTCTTGGAGACAAGAGTCCGAGGTTGTGTGGTATGAGGACACGAGACTGGGTTTCTCTGTTCACTGTTTGCCTCCATGGAATTCTGGTTTTTGCTGGCCACTTTTACCCTCCCCCAGCCCCTACTGCTTCCTGAGACATTGCTGGCCTGGAGTCTCCACCCCACCCCTTAAACTTCCTCTTACTCCAGCCCAAGCTGCATCTCCACAGCTGCAGAAGCTGCCAGGACACTGGCAGAACACTTGTTTGCCCCCTGTTGAGGGAACCAGCTGGCCAGACCTTGGCGGTTGTGGGTTTGGAGCAGGCCTCCCGGGCCCTCCAGTACCCCTTCCTTTGTAGAGCCTAGGATGTCGACCAGGATGGCTACCCATCCCTTCGCAGCATGGGCACTCTCTGTAAGGGCCGTTGCCAGTCTGAGGTGGGGTCCTGTCCAGCCTTCTATTCGTGGAGAGGTCAAGATTGAGGAAGGGAGGTGTGGCGTGGGAGTGGGTGCTTCTTTGGAAAGGAAGACCCTGGAGCTGGGTAGTCTGGAAGGGCAGAGAGGATTCAAAGTGAGTTTGCTAGAAATCAGGGATTGTGATCAAGATCATCTGTTCTCTGGAGCCCCATGCCTTTCAGGAATCAAAGTTTGGCCAAATAAAATCTATAGGGTTTAGGAAATGGATTCACTCTGTTCCACCCCACAGGAGCCCCATGACCTTGGAGATAACTCACTTAATCACTATGCACCTTAGTTCTCTCATCTGGACAGTGGAGCCGTCTTCACTGGGTTCTTAGGTCGGTTAAAGGAGGGAATGAGGGCAGCCCGTGGTGCATGGTATTTGGAAATCTCTAGTTGCTGCTGCTGTTTTCTGAGGACAAAGAGAGGTGATGTACCCTGAATCAACAACTGGGTCAATGGCATGAGGGGTGGGTGCATGTGCAGAGGGGTGTATGAGGGATGAGGTGAGAGTCATAGGTTTTGTGGAGAAGAGACTGAGCAGAGAGTTCAGGCTTCATGGAGGCCAAAGCAAGAGAGACCAGGAGCTAGATTGGGACCAGAGCGTGGAGAGCCTTGAATGGCAAGTTAAAGAGCCTGGCCGTTTCCTGTCATCTTGAAGGGAAGGAAGTGAGGGCTGTGTTGGACACAGAAGAAAACCAAAGGGTCTGCACCACAGCCTCAGGTCCTGAGCTGACACTTCACCCACACTTTTCTCCTGAGCAAGAGATGCACTCCCATCTTTTCTCTGCAGCCCCTCCTCGTTCACCTGCCAGCTCCTGGTGTCTGATTGCTGGAAGGCTCTTCGTTACACTTGCAGATTCAGTTTTACCAAGGCCATGCCAGCCTGGGGGTGAAGGGGCATGGTAAGGGGGTGACTCATGGGCTGCCACCCTATCCAAGGCCTAGATAGAACCCCATAAGCCAAGAAACATCTACTTTCTCAGGCTCGGCACCCTCATCACAGCTGTCTTACCCTTCAGAGAAGCATGGGAGGCAGCCTGGCTAGAAGAGACCACTTTCAGGTAGAGGGAGAAAAAGCTATCTGGCAGAATCTAATCTCTAGCCTGACTCCAGTCCTGTCTGCCTGAGCCCATCTTTCAAGAGCTGTCTTTGCTGCTTGTAACCAATCCACTGTAGCAGCTCAGCGTCTTTAAGTCAGTCCGAATTGGTCAGCTGTGTATCACCTATCCAAAGTACTTGCAAGCATTGTTTTCTGCTTAGCACCGTGGCCCTTCTGGTAAGTGTTGTGTAGCCTGGCCTAGATTTATCTATGGGAGCATGTTTTTCAGGCCCAAGCTACCATGCTAGGATATGAACTTATGCCATATTTTCTGGGGGCCTCAGGTTTCCCTTCAGGAATCCTGGCTTCTCGAAGCTCAACCTTTTCTTCTTTTGTTCTCATCTTCCCTTTATCTTCCATTGCTATCTTGTAGGATGTTAGTCTGTTCTGGCTTTGCATATCATTGTTCCCTTATCTCCTCTGCAGATGACCTCTCTTCCCACATGGGACTCTGCCCTCTCCAAGTTAAGCCTTTTTCATTTGGATTTGGGGAAAGTCTATATGGGAATGCAGATCAAGAAATGCTGCATCTCACCCCCAGCACCCAGGAGATACACTCCTCCATGTGCTTTGTCACCCATGGGATTCAACTTGCCTCATCATGGTGGGACCGGGGTGGGTGGATCTTGAAGTTTCTCCCCTGAGCCACCCTGTAGTTTTCCATTCTCAGAATTCTGTGAAAGCCCCCTGATTTGAGCCGCTGCTAATCTAAAGTTTGGCAGTTCACATTCACACTGGAAGAAAGACCTGCTGGTGATAAGCGGCTGTAAAGACCACCCACCCACCCACCCCCAACCCGAGACAATGGCGGCAACACATCTTATGTAAAGGCACCCAAGATTGTTAGAAGAGAAGAACTTTTCGGAGGGATCCCACTTGTTAGCGTGAGGGGCTGCGACGCGTTGAGATCAGCTGGTCTTGGGCTCCGAGGTACCCAAACCAGCGGTGACACAACTGCAAGACATTTTCATACAAATACATTTTCATTCAAATCCAGGACCAGAAGATTGAAGGTCAAAGGTCAAGTCTTTCAGCCTGATTTCTTGGTTGGGACGTGTTCAGGGTTTGTCCCCTTGGTTCCTGACTAGATCTGGTAGGTTATGTTGTAGACTTTTAGACATATATATTTTTTAAATAATGGAAGGCAGTAGACCCAAATTTTAATACAAGTGTTAGTTATGTTCTGGAAAATCTCATTCAGGGTATTTGAATTAGACCCCCAAGAGTTTTTTTAATTGATAATGTATAGGCTTATCTACTTACTTTACCTTAGATCTTGGAAATTTCTAGAAAATACATGGAGCAACAACTCGCCACCATCCCCACCCTGCCTTGCCAGACTTTGTCTTTCTAATAAAAATTGGTATTGATTTAAAAACAAATAACAGAAGTAAGTTTTGCTTGTTTCTTAACAGTGTTTCGTTTCACCCCAGGCATCCAGTAGTGTGGAAGGGTAGGGATGATCTCAAAGGAGAGTTTGTTGGCCCATTTTGAAAGCTGCATGGAAGTTTAATAAAATTGGCTTGATGTATTTGAGGGAAAGGGTGGGTTATGTAGATGAGGGGACTTCAGAAAGGGTGTGGGAAAATCCTGTTATCTTCTCTTTATGTTTTTCCACGAACTTTTTGAAGGCCCTCTCCTATCAAGTACAACAGGGATTTTTATCCCGCTGCCCCTTGATAGGTTTCTGTGACCCTTTACCCTCCTGTTGGTCCAAGGCTCCCCAAGCCCCTCCCTTGCTCGCTCTTGGAAGAGCCTCCTCTGCTTGTGGTATGACCAGGTGTCCCTCTTGGTTTTATGTGGCCTGGTTTCAAAGCCCCAGGAGGCTAGGACTGTGCCATTCATCGTGTGTCCAGTAGGTGGGAAGGTGGGCTGGGCTGGAGGCAGGAGGTTGGAAGGCTTGGGAACTGGGTGGAGGCCAGCGCACACACAATTGGGCCAGGGGAGTTTATGGAAACAGACAAACATTTTTTGGGTGTACGGTATGTGCATTGTCTCTGAAAGTGTCCATAATTTTCATCGTTCTCAAGGAGACTCTTGATCCAAGAAACATTAGAACTATTGAGGTCATAAGTGTCCATGCTGGGTGTCTGAGGCACAGTCTCCAGGAGGCAGTCCTTGTTTCCCAGTATGACTGTAAAAATCCAAAACATGTTTCCAGAGCGAAACACTCACAGAAGAGATGGAGAGTTTGAAGCAGTCAGGTGTGAAAAGAAAAACTGTTGTGGAAGAATCTGGTGTCACAAATGCTGAGGAACGGCCTCTCCTAGGAGTTGGCGGAGCTCTCTCCCAGCAGCCAGCCCCACCAGATACTTACTTACCTGCTGCAGGGGTCAGTAAGATCTCGGCGTAACGGTTTGAGCTGACTGGTGCTTTTCTTGTCTGCATGATGGATGGTTTATTTGCCCTCTCTAGTCGTCTCCCATCTCATAGCGACCCTTATAGGACAGATAGATTACAACTGCTCCTTTGGTTTTCTGAGACTGTAAATCTTTACAGGAGACTCACTTTTCTACCAGGGAGTGGCTAGTAGGTTAGAACTGCTGACCAGGCTTAACCTACTCTTAGGCCACCAAGGAGAAGGAATTGAGTCAATGGCAGGGAGGTGATTGGTTTGTTTGTTTTTTGGGGGTGGTGGGGCCAGAGGATCTTCTCCCAAAGGTGCCCTGATGAGGCTGTTGAGTAAGTGCTGCCCTGCTACCCACAAGATCCATGGCTCAAACCCACCAGCTGCTCTAAGGGAGAAAAATGAACTTCTCTGCTCCTGGAAAGATTTAGAGGCCCAGAACCTTGTGTAAGGGGGGTCTTGATGAATCGGCTCAATGACAGTGCCAGTGGTAGGTGGTTTTCTCCCGAGGAATCCTGATGGCACAGGTTAAACACTGCTCACCAGAAGGTGGGCAGTTCAAAGCTATCCACCCCTCCGTGCATGCAGACTTGGAACCCACATGGTTCTACTCTGACCTGCAGGACTGCTGATACCAAGTCAACCTGATGACAATGGATTTGATGGATTTGTTTCATTCAGGCTTCCTCCCAGTTTTAACGTCCTCAGCTGTGCTTAGGGATGCTGCAGTTGTTGGAGACTCTGGAACAGGGGTCCTCAAACTTTTTAACCAGGGGGCCCAGTTCACTGTCCCTCAAACCCGTTGGAGGGCCGGACTGTAGTTTAAAAAAACTAAGCAAATTCTTATGCACACTGCACATATCTTAATTTGAAGTAAAAAAACAAAAAACAAACAGGGCAAAAACACCTGACGGGCCAGATAAATGTCCTCAGGGGGCCGCAGTTTGAGGACGCCTGCTCTGGAACATGGTTGGTGACTTTGGCACTTTTTTTTTTTGCTGTCAGGTTGGCTCCATGTACCACAGAATAATTTGTTGCCCAGCTGGATATCGTCTTCACCATTGTTGGGTGTGTGAGTTCATTGTTGGGGCCACTGTATTTTGCGTCTTTTCCAACCTAAAGGGCTCACCTCCCAGCACTGTATCAGATGATGTTCTGTGTGAGTCTTAGGGTTTTCTTAACTGTTTATTTGAAGTAGATCACCAGACCTTTCTTCTTAGTTTCTCTGCTGAAACCTGCCCACTATGGGTGGTCCTGCTGGTAGGACAGCTTCCAACATTCATTAGCTTAACACCCAGGCAACACCACCGTACCGCAAGTTGACAGATGGGTATGGTATGGGCCGCATACTTTAGCCCTGGAGGATCCTACTACAGTCTCTGTAACAGTTTAGATGCCCAAGCAGCTCTCTCTAGGCATTTGAAGCCCTTGGTTACCACAGGAGCGTCTATCTCAGACCCCTGAATGTTTTTTGTCTACAACTTCCCAACAGCATAGGAACATTACGGAGCCGTCTCCCTTCAGGCAGGGAGACGTATAAACTCTGTCCTCTTTGAAGTCCAGGATTGGGTGCTCTGATCGATTTCCTTCACTTACTTGTTTGGGGAGCATTTCTCCCCTCCTTGTAAACCAGCATTGTGGGAACTGCATTTGGGCTTGCATGTCTGTCCAGGAGGAGTCCCAGGGCATTGCAAGTAGTTAACACACTCTGTTGATAACCAAATAGTCAGCTGTTCCAGTTCTCCCAGAGTTACTTCAGGAGAGAACAAAGACCTGGTAATTTACTGCTGAACAATAGCCATGGAGAACCTTTGTGGAACACAATTGTACTCCGATAAGTACTTCCAGTCTCCTGCATTGGGTTGACCCTAGAGCAGAGCTCTGTTCCAGACATTCCCCTTGTCCTCATTGGCTACATGAACTAGAAGCACAGGCAGGGAATAGGAAGTCCTCTGTTGTTTGTAAGATGCATCCCAGGTTGGTGCAAATGCTTTGCACTAGGTTACTAACCTGGAGGTTGGCAATGGGACAGGCCAGCAGTGCTATGGAACAAAGGCCTGGCAACTTGCCTCTAAGCCCTCTGGAGCTCAGTTGTATTTGGTAACCTGTGATGTTGACATGAGTTGGACCGACCAGAAGGCAGTGGGTTTGGGTGCTATTGTTGTTGAGTGCCTTCAGGTCAGTGGACTCAGCAGCAGCAGCCCCCCACCCACCCCACGGCCCTGCGCCATCCTCTCACAATTGTTGGCCCATTTCAGCCCGTGTTGCATCCATTGTATCAATCCATCTGATAGAGGGGCTTCCTCTTGTTTGCTGTCCTTCTACCAATCATGATGTCCTTCTCTGGGGACTTTTCTATCCGGGTAACATGTCCAAAATGTATGAGATGGAGTCTTGCCCTTCCCACCTCGAAAGAACATTTAGTCTTCCAAGCCAGAGGCAGAGGAAACTATGCAGAGACAGGCTCATCGCTTAACCCCTGTTTTATCTCGCTTCTTCTCATTCTTGTAGGTTGCTCCGCATCTGTGCTGCTGAGTGGGCGCCTCTGATGGGTGAACCTGCCCACGATTGAGCCTGGCCTGTCAGGAGGGCCAGCCGCACAGGCCGAAAACAAGAAACAGGTCAGTTGAGCATTTTTGGCTTTCCTGGAGTCATAATAACTGAATGTTGAGTCTCTCCAAACCTTCCCTTCCTTCCCCTCATTCTTCCTCCATGGCCTTTGAATCCCCTCCCCAGCCCCGTCTTCTTCAGAACCTCCTGGTGGTACTGTGGGCTGCAGTTCAAACTCACTAGGTGCTCTCAGGGCAGGGGGAAGTGGTCTGCTTCTGTGAAGATTGCAGCCTCAGAACCCGGCATGGGGCCACCCTGAGCCTCATCGACTTGCTTGGCGGTTGGTTCGGTCAGTTCCTAGAGCTTTGGTGCAAAACCAAAAAACCCAAACCCACTGCCATCAACTCGATCCTGGCTCATAGCAGGACAGAATAGAACCGTCTCTTTGGTTTCTCAAAGCTGTAAACCTCTATAGGAGCAGAAAGTCTCACCTTTCCACTAAGGCGTGGCGCTACGCACACCACCACGTCAGGCTGAAATTGTGATAGAATCACCCATTCTTGATACATACAGCCCAGCTGTGGTGGTGCTAGCCTCCAGGGAAAGCACCACTTTCAAGACTGGTTCCTGTCTCTTCCTCCCCACCCCAAACGCAGAGAGGTTGTTGGGTTGAAAAGGGACACCACAGGCCAGCCTGCAGCATCATTTCAGCCAAGAGGATGGTTTTATAGCTGTGGTTGGGTCATCTGGGTCTTTGTCCTCTCATTCCACCTTGAGGGGGGCGTATTGACATGACCCTTATAAATGTTTGGGTTACTATTGTTGTTTGGCTTATGTTGTTTTCAGTGGTGAACTGATGGGTGGGGACAGGATTGGGGAGAGAAAACGGTGCAGAGGAGAGAGTTCAAGGAGAAAGTGCTTTATCAGTGGATCTTAAATGGTTTAAGTTGTCTGCTAACTCCCAGAAGAGAGACCCTGAGATGTCTCAGTGTCCAAAAGTTTAAGTTCAACCAAAACTCACTGCATTGAGCAGATGATGACTCATAGTAACCCCCTAAGGCAGGGTAGAACTTCCCCTGTGGGTTTCCAGGACTAACTGTTTAAGGCAGGCGTCCTCAAACTACGGCCCGCGGGCCACATGCGGCCCGCAGAGGACATTTATACGGCCTGCCGGGTGTTTTTGCCCCATTTGGTTTTTTTTACTTCAAAATAAGATATGTGCAGTGTGCATAGGAATTTGTTCATAGTGTTTTTTTTAAACTATAGTCTGGCCTTTCAATGGGCCTGAGGGACAGTGAACTGGCCCCCTGTTTAAAAAGTTTGAGGACCCCTGGTTTAAGGGAACAGAAAGCCTTGTCTTCCTCCCACAAGTTTTTTAAGTTAGTAACCCAAACCCAAACTCATTGCAATTCTCAGTTATGGGGTTTCTGAGACTTTGGACCTTGCAGGAGTAGACAGCCTCATCTTTCTACTGTGGGGGTACTGGTGGGTGTGAATCCCTGACTTTGTGGTTAGCACCTGGGCTCCTGTTAGGTTAACACAGTCTCTAGCACAATCCTGAGGCTGAGGGTGAGACAAAATGACTGATTCTGGGTTAATTTGCATGTGGTTAAGTTAATGCCTAAATGATCATTAACATGAAAGCGATTTCTTTCTTCTGCCTGGGATAGTGAGTGGCATTGTGCTATACGCCAGGTTTCCCCCCTTCTTACCTGCTCCACGATCCCAGAAGGAGCTCACATAAAAGACACAGGCGCAAAGTGGAGTCAAATCTGTAACAGCTCCACGTGGCTTGCTCGTGACTCTTTGCAGCAAGTTCTCTTTTTGAAAAATAATATACATGGCTGTTCACTTGCATGTGGAATGGGAGGGTGATATAGGTGAACTCGCACCTTCAGTTTGCAGAGTCACACTTTACACTTGATCCCAGAGGGGGAAATAAACCTCACAACACCTTCCTGTTCAGACAGAAGGGGAAACCACAAGGCTGGGCAGCCCTTCCCCTTTCCCTATTGGGATGAGCCCACCTTTCTGTTGTCTTGCTTGTTATAGGGGTGCACTGTGGAGCCTGTGTGATTCATCGAGATCCTGCATGCAGGAGCGGAAGAGTGCCCCATAGAGTCTCCTAGGCTGCTGGCTGTCCTGAAGCAAATGTGCTTTGATGGTGCAGTGGGCTATGAATTTAGTTGCTAGTCCGAGTCCTCTCACAGAGCTCAAACTGTTGACGTGCTGGCTAGCCGCCAAGTACTTTAACTGTTATATGCCACTAGGGTGCCCTAGTGACTTGCTAGGCATTCTATATTTAAGTCAACTGTCAGAATGTTATCACCAATGTGAGAAAGTCTACCTGCAGTGTGGTTCGGTTGAGTTCTGTTTTGGCTAATATCCCTATGGATCATTGCTCTCATCTCCATTTACTCTCTACTTGATAAAATTAGGATAAATGCACACACGGACACCCCCCACCCCCACCCCACCTCCACTGCTTTCAAGTCAATTCCAACTCACAGAGATCGTACATAAGGCTTCCAAGCCTGCAGATCTTTATGGGGAGCATACAGCCCCATCTTTCCCTCTGAGGGGCTGGTGAGTTTGAACCACTGAGAAGTTAGTGTAGCCAGTGCCTAACCCACAGTGCCACCCATAGATGACAAACACACCCCATCCCCACCACCCATGGCTCATTGTTTAGAGGGCAGGGGAGTAAACTGCCAGTTACTTTCTTTTGAGGTACCTCTGGGTGGAACTTGTAAAATATATCTTTAATACCCTATCATTTTAGTTAATCCTAAAAGTTGTATACATACCTGTTGCGTAAAGTGTGTTCTATTTTGAGTGTAATAATAGGAAAAAAGCAAGGTCATCTTCAAAGCCTTTAGTGTACATTAGTCCTAATGTTAAGTTTATTTTCACTGGTCTAACAATTCCAGAAACAATAAACCCGTTCAAGTCGGTTACTGTTGTATTTACTGAGGGGGCATCGCCTTGATGGCAATGCGTTTGACATTTTGTTTTGGTTTGTTAATTATGGGAGAGAGAAATTGAAACTGAGGTAGAATTTAGTATTGAAAATGGCTATTTTCTGTGAATCAGATAAATAATTACATGCTGATTGAATGGACACCTTTTAGGGAACTGATGATACTTTCATTAGAAATTAAGACATTACACATGTGTGCATGCGCAGGTGTATGTGTGCGCACATGCATGAACACATGGGCACACTTGTCAAAGTATGTTTTTTCCTAGAGAGATCTCCCAGATAAACTTTAAAGACCGTTTAAAACAGGAAGTTTGAGGCACTGTTTCAAAGTAAGTTTAAGTGATCTTCAAACATGGGCAATCTTCATAGAAAGAGCAATTTGTTTGTGTGTGTGTTTTCCCCTTTGATTTGGATCAGAACTTTATTAATGGAGAAGGATGGAGGATGAGTCTAGCTCCAGCCTTTGCTACTATCTGTCATAGTCCTCAGTCACATCCCCTAAAGTCTGAGGAGCTCACACACAATCTCTCTCTCTCTCTCTTTCTCTCCCCCCCTCTCTCTCTCTCCTGCTCTCTCTCTCTCTCTCTCTCTCCATGTTCTTTCTTGTATTTCTCAGGGTCAGTATATGCTCTACCAGCTGAGATAATGAGTTAGCGTCTTTCACTGCTGTTTTGGTACTTTAGAACATACTAAGTCACGGTATGTTAGATAGAACAGCTATGGGATATCTTCCCAGATAAAAGGAGGGACTGGTTTGCTATGCATAGAGCCAAAGCAAGGAATTTCTGGAGAAGTAAGTTGAGAGAGGACTGTGGGTTAGAGTTCTCTCTTTGGTCATTCTGTACATCCTTCCAAGTTTCTTGTAAGTCTTGCCTAACACCTACTAGACTCAGAGTCCTTAGTGAGTTTCTCAACAGCCTTGGCTTCGGTCAGTTTTGTGTAGAGGTCTGACGTGGGTCAAGTGGTCGTTTGAGAATCCTTGGATGTGAGGGAGGGACAAGAGTTTCAGAATGAAAGTTGATTCCCTGTGTGTCTGTGGAGGCACGAGAAAGTGAAATGCCACCGAACTTTGACTGTTGGGACTGAGGTGACAGCACCTTCGGGGACATCCATTAAGATGGAAAAACCACCTATAGAAGGTGGTGAGGGAAGAAAACAGAGTTCAAAATGGCCTTTCACTGCCATTTGGAGCTATGTTTCTGTGAATGTAGAGTCTGAGATTATGGCAAAGGAAAAATTTCTGTTTTTTCCTCCCTACCTGAAAAGATGCTGACTAAACCTCTCTACTTCTGCTTCCCTTTCAGGGTCAGTGCGTGGCAGCCAGACACCACGAACAGAGAGACGCAAGCCCAGGCACATAGCCGCTCCATGCGGACGGTAGCCACAGCAGGGGGGGATCACCTAGTATCTCAGTGGGGCAGAAGATGGAGGTAATTAGTGGGCAGGCGCTTTCTTTTCTATTTTCTTAATTTATCCAAGTGTATTACCTGAGGTAATAGGCTTCCCTAAGTCCATGTGAAACTTGCTTGTGGATCTGATAGTGTCAATCTCTCAGATTTCTGAGAAAATTCGGACTCCCCCTATGACATCACTGCATTGCAGGAGTGGTGTTAAATGCAACCCAAAAATCCTCATTAGGAGTAAGGCTAGCTATAATAAATGGCTGTGCAACTTTTGGAAGGTCCTGGCCAAATGGCAGCTCTTTGGGGTGCCTAACTCCTAGTGGAAGACCAAGAAAGGCCAAGAAACCTGCTCAAGGGCATTGGCAGTGGGTGTCTGGGTGCATCTTCATGGTGGTATAGCCTCAGAAAGGAAGCAGGGTCATCATTCAATCGGTGCTACACCCAACTTCCACTTATTCGACGCTCGAATCGTGACAGGCTTTGTTTAAGTTTAAATACCTGTTTAAACTGAAGAAAGCAAGCTTTGTGACTCTAGTCACAGTTGTCGTAACCCTGGTCAGTGCTACCTGGCCTGGATTTCAGGCTCAACTTGACAGCGATCAATCACATCGGCAATTTCCGATTTCCAGTTCTATGGCAGAGGCTTCTTAGGAGTTTAAACCCTTGTCCCAGTGATGGCCAGTCCGCCCATTGGCTTGGAAGGTTCAGACCTATCTTCCGTCAACACCATGATGTCGGCAGTGATGAGTGTAGGGAAGATCGCCGAGAATGGCGGGAGCTCCCAGGACGTTAAGTCCCCCACAAAGCCTCCAGGACCAAACCGGATTGGCAGAAGGAACCAGGTAAGATTGATTCCATAGTTTTGGCCATGAGGCTGGGTGGGTTTGGTCTCTTAAGAACATTGGAAGAAGGATGTTACCTTGAGTCCCAGCTTTCTGAGACAAAACCTTGGTTCTGTTTAGAATTAAGTATACATACCTAGGGGCCTTCGTAAATTCTTCATAGCTTATGTCAGTTTCCTTTCATGGAAACTGTCATAACCCTGGTCAGTACTACCTGGCCTGGATTTCAGCCTCAACTTGACAGCGATCAATCACATCGGCAATGTCCGATTTGTCCCAATGATGGCCAGTCCGCCCATTTTATCTTTGCTGTGGCATAACTTGGTGAAAGCTCCCTTATTCTCTCTCCCATGACTTTTCTTTTGCTGTAATGTGCTATGTTTCCTGATTGCTACAGCTTGGCTTAAGGGGTTTTCAAAGCCATTTCCTTGGTTTGTAATAAGTACTGTTTGTATGTTGGGCCTGCTATCCGGCCTCTGCCCTTGGAGGCACAGAATTTGGTTCTAGAGAATTCTCCTTCAGCTGCCAGTGGGCATCAGGTCAGGAAAAATGGGAAGGAGGGAAGATTGATCAAGCTGTAAAATCTACATGAGGGGCAGGGATGGGGCCACTGCCTAGTTTTTCTCTCCATTCTAACCTGCCTACCAACTTAAGTCCGTTGAAAAATATCATGGGTCATCTAATTCAGTGGTTCTCAACCTGTGGGTCACAACCCCTTTGGGTCAAATGACCCTTTCACAGGGGTCACTCGATTCATAGCAGTAGCAAAATTACAGTTATGAAGCAGCAGCAAAAATAATTTTATGGTTGGAGGGGTCACCACCACATGAGGAACTGTACGAAAGGGTCTCAGCATTAGGAAGGTTGAGAACCACTATCTTAATTAATGTACAAATGGGCCCTTTGGAGATGTTGTGGCTCTCTTGCTATGCTGACAGAGGCCCAACGTAAACAAGTGTCATTTCTCCTCTGAAGCTATTTGATGTGGATTGACTATATCACGCCACAGCTCATCTTTCACTTGACTGATTTACTGGGGTTATATTAAGCCCTTGGAGAGATGATGTTTTTCTGGGCTTATCTAGGGGGTGGACAGCAAAGGATTTTGTGAATTGATTTTCTTTTTAATTACTAATCCTAGATTGACTAACACTCCTTATGGAGATCCCTGAGTGTGTGTCTCTATAAACTTAAGTTAATTGTGGCTTTTGCTGCAACCTGCCCTCCAGAAAAAGCTGCACGAGCCCACAGTCCACCAGGTGTGTGAGTGTGCCCACCTCTCACCCCTTCTCAAGGCCGATGCTTGACAGTTAAATGATGCTTTAGGTCCAGGCATTGATCTCTGTTCTCTCTCTCTTCCCTTATCTCCACGTGCCTCTCTTCCCATGGCTACCTGAGAAAATACCCTACGGGGCTGTGGCCTGAGCAAGGAGGAGCGCTAGCTCTGTGAAGAAAAGGTTTATTTCCACTCCCACATGATTGTGCGTCCGTCCGTCTGTCCATCCATCCATCCTCCCACCCACCAGCCCATTTTTCAGTCCATTTAACCAAATGTACCTAGTGCCAGTCCCTCGGCAGGGGCCCCAAATCTGATGATGAGTTAGACATGCAACGTCCGTGCCCTCCTCCTTCTCTCCTCTGCTCCCTCAGGAAAGCGTGACCTGGGAGAGGGCTGCCTGAAATAGCACAGCAGGGCCAGGTACCAGTTTGTGCCCGATGGTCAGAGACAGCCGTGGGAGAACCCCACGGCAACTCCTGCCCGTTGTGCTGCTGGAGACTGACCCTGCAGGTTTGGGGAGGCAGCTGGTACAGATGTGACTGGGCCATTTTCATCCAGCTCCTGTTTTCCTTCACTGACAGGGGTTGCCCTTACCTGTGAGCAGGAATGGGGAGGGTGGGAAGAGGGAGGAGTCTCACTGGGTACCAGAGTTCCAGAGCAGATTAGCTCCAACGGATGCCTGACAAGGCTGCCAGATTGTTACATTATGGAATGGTTATTTAGCACATAAGCTGCTAATTTTGTCTTTCAGCTCAGGACGCGTGCTCCTGTCACCAGCAGGGCTGTCAGAGCTAGGTGTAACATCCCCAGCAGAGCCTTGGCCAGAGCCATGGTGCTCTTTCTTCTCTTTGGTTTGTTTTTGGAAAAGCATTAGATTTGAGTCAACAGAGCCCTTCTCCCGTGTAAACCACCTTGGCCTTTGTCGTTCTGCCTTTGTGCAGCCAGCCTACAAGAAAGTTTGAGTTCCGGTTAATAATAAACCCCAGGGTCAATACAGCCACTCCACCAAACTGCCCAGTGTGTCTGGGGTCTCCTTCAAGGTGAACTTGAATGGTTTTGTGTTTTTCCTCTAAAATTTTTTCTCTTCAGAAAGTTGGCAAGCCACTTGAAGCCTGGCTGTTTTAGTGTTTATTCACATCCTACTGGTGAATTTTTTCTCTATATGTATATACACATTCATACACATTCTGTGTTTTTAATCTATGCTGTCTCATACAACACTATCTGCTTTGTCATTTAGATTCTAATCTGATTTTTCACTGCAGTGGAAGACACATAGAACTCATGGACAACACTCACAAATAAAGGGGTTTATTAGGACAGTTAATAGTTTAGTTACCATAATTAGTACAAGTCAGGATCAATAAACAATGAGGATATGGTTGTTCATTCACAACAACACCTCTTCTCGCTAGCAACCAATTCTCAGCCACATAGCCAGCAGGTCAGCCCACCTGTCACTTCTGTCTTGCAGTCGAGTAGTCTTGGGCTGGATGAGGAGAAGATATCCTATTGTCTTGAGGCTGCTCCCTGAGTTTCTCTGCCACAATCTCTGGGGCATCTGGTCTCGTTGGCCACCACCACTTCAGACAGAGATCTCGATACACTCTTCCTTTGCCCTCGGGATTCTCTCTGTGTCCCCACTCACTCTTTTACACATGGAAAAATGGCTTTGATGAAGATGTGCTTTATCTTTTAGCCAACCATACTGCCAAGGAAAACTAGGAACCAGTGTCTGAAATCATCCCCACTAGTAAGGTAGTCTTAAAGATGCCCCCGAGGAAGCAAAGGGTGTGACTTGGTTCGCAACTTCTACTAAAGTCAGGTCTTCAATCTAACCTGATCCTACCCAGTGGAGAATACCCTCCAAAATGGGATTGTTGCATAAGATTATTGGGTAGAATACATCACATAAGGATTTATGACTAGAAGGACCACCTTAGTTGACATACATCAATGACACACAATTGAAATACATCGGTTTATGTATTGTGTTTATTTCTATATGCACAGTTAGTGGAAAATGGAATGAAAAGCTAATGGAGTTTTCCCAGCCAAGCCACCTCGTATGTGCAGTCCTTGAATCATGCAAAAAAAAATTAATAGGCTCAACTCTTAACCCAAAGGTTGGAGATTCAGGCCTTGGAAGAAAGGCCTGGTGGCCAGTTCTGCTCTGAAACACATGGGGTCACCTTCATTTGGAATCCACTCAACAGAAATTGGGGTATGCTTGTGTGTAGGTGAATATATGTAGTGCACACGTTTTAAGTGTACACACTACATATGTATACATATAAATTCCTGGTGATCATTTTGCAGAAGTAAATGGAATTGAATGCCACAGATTGAATTCCACCCTGACTGTTAGCCCAGCTGTGAGACACCTGTCATTAACAGCAAATGTTCTTAATCTTGTGTAACTTTTGTGTGTATGCTTGGTGATCCTCGACATGTTCCAGTCTGACTGTCGTTAGAGAACTGGGCTAGAGGTGTGGTCCTTCTCCCGCCCAGCACACACTCGCTGTAACTCTGGTTCTCCAGGGAGGTATGGAAATTTATGAACTAGGAGTCACTGGGCACTTTTTTGGACCAGGTGATCCACGTTTTGAAATTCATATCCTTAAAAGCGGTCGATTTGGTGAGAAAATTCTTGGGCCTGGTCCCTCAAACTAGGGAATGGTTTGTAACGCTTCCAATGATGTGGAGAGTCTGTGAAGCTGGGAGAAACCGCCTCAGACAAAAGCACAAAGGCGTCCTGCATGCTCTTCTCCCGCCTGCTGCGTGGGGCCATCTGTCTTTACTGTCTTTGGGGAACTTTTATTTCTGTCATCACTCATGAGCAACCACAAAGGTGTTTCCTGTCTGTGCCTCAGGCTCTGGCCTCCTCCCGGTCAGACTCACATGGCACTTTGGTTTAAGGCACGGGCTGTGGAGTCAGCTGCCTGAGCTTGAATCCACATCAGTCACTTACGTTCCCTGCTCAGGAGCAAGTTACTTGCTTCTCGATACCCTGGTTTCCTCACTGAGAAAATGGGATCCACAATAGTCTCTTAGTGGCACGGGGTTAGGGGGAAGCCCAACATTTCTGTACATGCCGCTTAATATATAATCAGTGCGCACTACATGATATTACCTATTATTTGCAAAAAACAGAAACACATTCATTTCATTAGTTCAGGAATGAAGGGGAACTATTCATATACAACCTGCCCTTAAGGGTCCAGCTTTAGAGAGAGCTTTCCCCTTTCCTCTTGAGTAGCCTACTATTTTACTGTGGTAAGCACCACATTATTCCTAACTGCTTTCTCACAGCACTGACTTGCTACAGTGCCGGGTCTAGCTCCAGTTCTGTATGCATATTCAATTCAGGAGCTTGGCGTCCACCCACCTCAGTCTTAGAATCTCTTGGGCAGTATAAGATGGTGACACACTGATTTTCTAGGATCCAACCCACCTCTCTTCCCCCCAAGGTGGAGGGGCAGGTCTACAAATCCACACTTCATACCGTAAGTGGCTCCGTGGACCTTTGGGAGCCTACTTACCTGTCTTAGTCTCTCCACATCTAGGTCCCTGGGAGGGCGGTGCCATTCTTGATACAGTAAGTTTGGGTGCAGGGATAGGCACAGAGACTTGTGCTTGGGGATTGTGCGGACAAGGAGGCAGAGGTGGGCACGCTGTGCGAGCCTCCTGAGTCATTAGTGCATTGTGGGACATTCTGCCATAAAAGAGGAGCTCTAAAGTATGATTAGTGGAAAAGGTCCTTCTTTTCCTTCAAAAAGGCAAAATAAATCTCTTCAAGAAAGCAAACTGTTTCAGGAAACATAAAACAGACCTCATAGCCATACGTTGCCTGCTGGTGTGTCTGTAACAATTTTTATAGCTGTCTACCCCATCTAGGAGCCCTGGTGGCGTTGTGGTTATGCTTTGACCCGTGATCTGCATGGCTGGCAGTTCAAAACCACCAGCAGACTCCTTGGGAGAAAGACCGGGCTTATTACTCTCAAGCAGCAGTCTCAGAAACCCACAGGGGGTTGCTATGAGTCAGCATTGACTCGATGGCTGTGAGTTTGGTGTATTCTGATCAGCCCCATCACAGCTGGGCAGGTTAGCATTCTTCCCTGCCAGCGATGGCCAGCAGAAGCTACCGTGGTTGCAGGAACCATGCTCATTGGCCGTTGGGCCTGCAGTGGACGCTGAGGGCTTCTCACCATCAGGAGGTGGGCTTGTGTAATTGACTTATCCTTTCACATGTGTTTAGGGGGACCTTGGAGACAAAGCAGGAAATGGTGAGGGGAACCTGGCCCAGACATTTCCATGATTCGAGCCTAATGTGCAGCCCTCGTGCCACCATGACTCGTTAGTTGCTCACTGAGTAACTGACAGCTCATGATTGGAGCCAGCGGAATAGAAATGCCAATCTTTATTTTGGTTTACATGTGGTAATTGATTGAACCCTCACTACTAGCGGGCACTATTATTGTTCCCATTTGCCAAGGAGGAAACGGAAAGCTGACTTGCTGAGCCCACCCTGCTGGCTCCAGAGCCCATGCCCCTTGCCATGCGCCCTGAGACACAGGTGCTTGCTATGGGCATGGAACACACTGGCTTACTGTGACTTGAAGTCCATTCTCCCTTCTGATCCACCCCTTTTTATTTTATTTTTTAAAGGAAACGAAAGAGGAGAAGTCTTCCTATAACTGTCCCCTGTGTGAAAAGATTTGTACTACACAGCACCAGCTAACTATGCACATCCGTCAGGTTTGCCGCCGCCTTTCCTGTTCTTGCTTTAGTCCCCTTCATTGGCAGAGGGCAGGTGATGCCTTTTAATGGGCTGTGGTTCATAGAGAGGGAACATTATAGGATTCAGGGAGGTAAATGCTGAATAATCATTTGTGTGTATTTGTATCATCGTTGAATTCTTAGGTCAACACAACATGTTTTAGACTTTTTTACAAAACATCTAGTGTCTTAAGTATTTATAAACAGACATGAAACACAGTGCACACAGTGGACATGTATGTAAAACAGGACTTTTCAGGACTTGTTAGTGTGAACAAATCCTAGATTATGAGACTATAGATGTAGATCTCTGTTCTTATATTGGTATGAATTTGAGGTCTGCAGCAGGGAGTTTATTTGGTTTGGAATCTTTGTTAGTTTTCTCCTGTCCAATGAGGTTTAGACTTCTCCCTCTCATACAGCAGACTCATAAGATTATTAAAAAATCTAGAGCAACGAAGAACTAGACGGAAGGAGATGGCAGTGAATAAGAAAAGGGTTACGCGGGGTTAGAGAGACCTGTTCTTCTTACCCTGTTTCAAAGGCAGGACCCATGCAATCTCCACAGACTTTGGTTTTCCTCTGATGGAGCTGAAGACGGGCTTGACTTAAAATATGTTGATGTCTGCCTCGTAGCTGAGAGTCCTTCTACTCAGAGGAGTGAATATCTGCTCAGTTCATTTATCTGTGTTGCATAGAAAAGCTTGCAAACACTGTCACGTCTGAGCCTTGTGGAAATATTTTTTCCAACTTGGGAATGGAACACCATTGACATTAGTTAATAGTCTGTGTTCCAGGTGTCTGTAGGCTGTGACAGAAGATGCCTTCATTTCTAAGGGCTGGCAGAACAAAGCACTGCGAAGTAAGCGGCTGTAAAACACAGATTAAATAAAGTTCCCCTTTCCCCAAACAGACTAGGAGCCCTGGTGACTTAGTGGGTTACAAGTTGGGCTGTTAACCTCAAGGTCCGCAGTTTGAAACCACCAGCTGCCCTGTGGGACAAAGAAAAGGCTTTCTACTCCCCCCAGGGACAGTTCTACTCTGTCTGATAGGGCTGCTATGGGTTGAAATTAACGTGGTGGCAGTGAGTTTGGTTTCTGGTTACCTGAAACAGAGGGAGCCAGTTAGCTTAATTGGTTAGGGCCTGGTGCTAACCAATCCACTTGGTGGTGTTTGATGCATCTCGAGCTTTGGTGCTGCTGTCGGGTCAGAGGTTCCACCTCACCAACCACTCCTCGGGAGATCAGGCTGTCTGCTCCTGTAAAGATTTACAGCCTTGGAAACCCTAGAGTCCCGGTGGGTTGGAATCCACTTGAAGACAATGGGAGTTCCCCAAACAAGATCACATTCACAGGTACAGGGGTTAGGGCTGAATAGACATATCGAGGAGCACAATTCAGTGCATAACAAGATATTTCAAATTAAACCAGGAAAGGAAAAGAGTAGCTGGAAAAGTCCACTGGTTTGTTTTCTTTTTTAAGTCAGAGTTTGGATTTGCATTGTTTGGTAGTTGAATCGCTGACCTATCGACTTAAGTGATCCATGAGGTTCTTGTTTCTGCAGCATAACACAGACACCGGAGGAGCCGACCATTCCTGCAGCATCTGCGGGAAGTCGCTGAGCTCGGCCAGCTCCCTAGACCGCCACATGCTGGTGCACTCTGGTGAGCGGCCGTACAAGTGCACCGTGTGCGGCCAGTCTTTCACCACCAACGGAAACATGCACAGGTGGGTGAGGGCGCCTTCACCTGGGAGGCTGGCTGGCACTGGAGGTGGGCGGGAGGTAGAGTGGCTTAAGCTATCAGAAGACTTGCCCAAAGACACAATGAGCCCCTGAGTTGTGCTCAACCTTACGGAGAAGTCAGAAATGGTATTGCTCTGCTTACTTGTGGGTCCAGTCTTGTGTGATCGTGGAAAACAGTTTTGGGAGCAGCCTGGTTGTCCGGCACCAAGACTCCGCCCCACTCTGCTGATTGCAGTGTCTTCCTTGGTTTGGGTGTAAGGGTAGTACTCTGCAAGGAGTGCCATCCACAGACCCCTTGCCGTAGGCCTGCCAAATCATTCAGTCCTTTTCCCTACCCAAAACTGCCCAGGATCTTGTAATAGGTCAATGTTTCCATCCTGGTGTTTTGGTCTAGGATACGATAAGATGAAGAAACAGTGTTTGATAAATGTTAAGGAATTACTTCCCAAGAGACGGAAATTGGATTGCTTACTCAGAAGTCATGGCATGTTCAAATGTCATGGGACAAGCCATTGGAAAGTAAACCTTAGAGAACAATATGCCTATATTTTGCAAGGTTAGGACAGAATGACTTTGGAAAAAACAAAAACCAAAAAAACGCTTAACTTTGATTTACTCAAATGCTTTAAGTACATTGATTCTCTTCAGAACCAAACTCACTGCTATCAAGTTGGCGCTGATGCATAGCGACCCTGCAGGACAGATTAGAACGACCCCAGTATATTTCCAAGGCTGTAAATCTTTACAGGAGCAGAAATTCCTCATCTTTCTCCCATGGACTGGCTGGTGGTTTCAAGAAAAAAGGGGGATTAATTCAAAAGCTTCCCTTCCCCACCCAGATTAGATGGTTTTTATTTCCCCCAAATCCTTATCCTGCTCGCTTTTTAAAAGGTTGCACTTTTTAAAACATATTTATTCTAAAATAAAACTATAACGATTATAGAAATTATATTTTATATTACAATATGTTATCTTAAATAAAGATGGTTCATATTTATAATTTTATTATTACACAGAAAATACTGGTACATTTTGGTCAGTGAATAGCAAATACATAAACAATACTAGAATGAGAAGTAGCCCAGTTGATTTCACCAAAAAAAATACACTTAATGAACACCAGTGGTCTTCACTATGGAACACACTGATAGAGGGGTGATTTTCTGGATTTTGAAACGCAGCTCCTGAATTCAATTCTCACCTCTTGTCACTTGTAAATCTTATGTCAAGTTATTTCATCTGTTTGTGTCTCAGTGTCCTTGTCTATAAAACGAGAATCTGAGTAGTATCTACTTCATTGTTACTTGAGAGCCGTGAGGACTAAGTAAGGTACACTCGACCTATGCCATGATATTTTCAGGCATCTCATGTGCGTGTAAAAACTGGGCAATAAATGAGGCAGACCAAAGGAGAATTAATGCGTGTGAACTATGGCGCTGGCAAAGCATGTTAAATATGCCATGGACTGCCAGCAGAATGAACGAGTCTGTCCTGGAGGAAGTATAGCCAGAATGCTCCTTAGAAGCCGGGGTGGCAAGACTTCTTTGCATATACTTTGGACATGTTCTCAGGAGGGGCCAGTCTGAGGCACAACCTGCCCTGTAAATGAGGAGGTCAGAAAAATGGCGACTCAGCAGATGGATTGACAGCGCCTGTAGCAATGGGCGGGTGCTGCAAGACCAGGCAGCGTTTCCTTCTTTTTCAATGAAAACTGTACACAGAGTCTCTGAGTGGAGCAAACGCGATGGCATCTAACAGCAACAACTTGCCTGGTTTAGGATGACTAGGAGATGCTGAGCGTGGTGTAGTTCCTGGCGTGTGATATGCATCAGTAAATGTTGCCTTCTGTTATTGTTCTTGCTTGAATTTCTAAGTAGTAGATTTCTCACTCTAGACACCTAGATTGTATAATATGATTTTCTAAAAAGTAAGAATATTTCCAATAATTTTCCCAAAATGCTTTCTGCCCCCACCTCCTCCATATTCATTTCAGTCCTGGTGAATCATTCTCTTTACCCTTCTTTTCCTCAAATGGTTTTCTGGGTTCGAAGACGAACTTAACTTTTTCTACTTAACATCCAGCCAGCCTGTTAGTAGCCTTATGCCATCTGTTCAGAGTCCCCCTTTTGCTCCCAGGGGCCTCACCCTCCCAGAGCCTGTTCCCTTTATAGGCTTGCCCTTTTCAAAGGTTAGTCCTAGAGGCACTGCCTCTTTTCTTGGGTGATTTCCCTCATGGCAGAGGGCAGGGGTCATTAGTGGTAAGTATGCTTCTTAGGGCGGTGTGTCCCTGACACCTTCATGCTTATGCCCCTCTGTGAGACCGCTCAACTGCACCGGGTTTGGAACGGCTCCATGATTGAATATGGGACATATAAAGAGCAAGTTTATATCGAGCAATGTAAACGGCATAGTTATGGCCTTCTCCACGGATGGCTCTCAAGAATGCATTTGGGAAAATAATTGTACATAGAGCTACAGCACACTGTTTCTTGCACTTATTTTATGTTTCATATTTTTAATTGAAGTATAATTCATATACCCGACAATTCATCCATTTAAAGTACATAATTCAGTGGGATTTCATATATTTACGGTCAGTTTGGAAGTCTCATTTCCTCCCAGTCTCTTCCCTCAGCCCCTGGCAACCACAAATTCGCTGTCTGTATAGATGTCTGTGCTCTGGACATTTCATACAAGTGGGAATTACACAATGAATGGTATTTTGTGGACTGGCTTCTTTGACTAGCATAATGTTTCCCCAGTTCACCCGTGCTGTGGCTTGAATGAGTACTGTATTCCTTTTGACTGCTCCATATGCATAACACTCCACTGTACGGCTTGAAAACAAAACCAAACCAGACCCTGACTCATCGCAACCCTACAGGACAGAGTGGAACTTGAGAACTCGAGGGTTTCCCACGCTGTAAATCTTGGTTGAAGTCTATTCCCAGTCTTCCTCTCATGGAGCAGCTGGTGGGTCTGAACCTCGGGCCGTTTGAAAAGCAGTTGTGCTTTTACCACGGTGCCCCTGGAGCTCCTCTGCTGGGCTGCGTTATAGTTATTACTCAGTTGATGGGCAGACATTGAGGCTGCCTCTAATTTTTGCTATCAGTCACACAGTTTTGAACAATAACGTACGAGTTTGGATGTCGACATTTTGGGGAAAGGGTTCTTCAAAAACATTCATGGAATGATGCAATTAAAGGGTATTGGACATTTTCTTTGAGTTTTTGGAAGCATTCCTGGTGTATATCTTCATTTCTCTTATGTATATTACTAGAACTACAAGATTCTGTAGTAACTCCATGTTGAACCTTCCAGGAGCTTAAAAATCATTTCCTAAAGCAGTGGCACTGAAGGCATCCCCACCGGCTGTGTGGTGGTCGATCCCTCAGCATCACGGCCAGTGCACAAACACGGCGTTCCAGAGTGTAGCTATTCGTGTATAAAGGGATAGCTCATAGGAGTTTTGATTTCTCATTCCCTGATGGCTAATGGTATGGAACAAATTTTCATGCTGGCCAATTGTACATCTTTGGGGGAAATAACTACTCCAATCTCTTGACTGTTTTTAAATGTTTTGTTATTTGTCTTTACTGTTGGATTGTAAGAATTCTTCATTCTGAATATAAGCTTTTTTGTGTTTTGCAGATAAAACACTTGTAAATGTCTTCCCTGACTATGTCACTTCTGCTTTTGGTGTCAGATATAAGAAGGCTTTACCTCAATGACTCACAAAAATGTACTCCTGTATATTTTAAAAGTTGCATAGTTTTAGTTCTTACACTTAGGTCTATGTCCTTTTTTGGGTTGCTTGTAGAGTTAGGAAGTGGTCCAACTTCATTCGTCTGTGAATATCTATTTATTCCAGCTCCATTTGTTGAAAAGTCTACTTTTGACCCACTGAATTGTCTTGTCCTTGTCCCAAATCAGTTCATGATAAATGTACCAATTAATGTCCCATTGATTCTGTCCTATTGATCTGTCCCATTGGTTCCAGTGATCTGTGTTTATGTTTTTCCAAGTCAGCTTTGTCTCCATGGCAGAGGGAGTACAGAGTATGAGAATTAACAAGCGAGTGCTTGCTGCAGCAATGAGCGTGTCGTGTTGGTGGTGGTGTGCAGTGTTATTGGGCCTTTGTTACCCACAGGGTTTTCGCTGGCTGGTTTTCAGGAGTAGGTCGCGAGACCGTGCTAGTTCATCTTAGTCTGGAAGCTCCACTGGAGCCTGTTTGGCATTCTGTCAGCACGGAAGCCTCCATTGATAGGCGGGTGTTCGTAATTAGAGTGCGTGGTCCACAGAGGGAAAGCCAACTTGAGAAAACACTCCTGTTGGGCCAGGAAATAACTTGAGGGGTCATCTATCTTAGTAAAGTCATTACCGCCATAGTTTATTGGCAAAACTATACTTTTTTGTGTATGTTGGGGTTCGGGGGGCGGGGTGGGGAGGCGTGTGGGTGTAGAAAAACGCAAAAGTACTTAACCAGCTATGTGCCGGGGAGTACACAGTGAGATTTGTTTGCCCAGGTGGATTGGTTCCAGAACCTCGTACCTGTGCTAGGTTAAGTAAGAGCTGAAGCTGCCTGGGCACTGTGGGCAGGAATTAAAGGGAATCATCAGAAGCTGGGTGTTACCTGAGTTGTATCCTTGCTTGGTTCTCAGAGCATAAAAAAGCTGGCATCAGCCCTGACCACTTGCTGCGGTTAAGACCAGCGGTCGTTCTTCCTTCCATTTTCACCACTGCCACTCACCAGAGTCCTTGGGCACCAGCTGGCACTGAAGACCCCAGGCACTCCTTCCACTGGGGCTGGCTGAAGCCCCGGTACTTACTCTGACCCAGTGCACTTGAGCATGGGGGACTCCCAAGGTGCCTTCCCCCTGGAATTGTGTGTAACCCGCACCTTGGCCGCTCCCACTTAGGTGCTAGTCTCACCCGAGAGAGGGAAATCTCTCTGACTTGTGTCTCCCCGTGCTGTGGGTTTGTC